CCTTCTCCTCCTCCTCCTCTTCTTCTCTTTATCTCTTTTTAAAAATTTCCTTTATCATCCAACAAGCATTTGTTCAAAATCTAGTTTGTTTTAAGAAAACTGCAAGAGCGTGTGGAAAGAGAACAGAGAAAACTCTCACTAGCTAGATGAGTTCAAGGTAGGGGGACCACATAATTCATTGTCCAAATTAGGATGCTTTTGAGAGTGACAGGGCACGCTCTTATGATCACACTGCTGAGACAACAGGCATAACCCAGGACTGTCACGGGCTAAGCGGAATGAAGTGTTACTCTGGTTCTCTGTGGCTCTTCCAGCCCTTTAATATACCATCCTGTCAAGACTCAATAACTCTGCCCTCTGCGACAAGACTAACAGCCAGGTTGTAATGTTAACAATAACAAGAGCTGTGCTGAGTACGGTAAGGACATTCTCTGACTTAAAACTCACAATGAAAACGGTCCTATTACAACACCCACTGTTCTAGATGAAAAACTTAGTCAAGATCACACAGGTAATACAAGGCGAAGTGGGATTTAAATCAGGCAATGTGACCTGGAACCCATCCATTTCACCACGGCATTGTTCACGTTGTGTAATGTTCTCATTGTCTCGCAGGATGCTATATGGTGCTTGAGTCCCTGCCTCCCAGGTTCAGCCTATTCTGCAGCGACACCCTGCTTCTGACTCTAGTATATCTTTAAAAGGAACTGAACGAAGCCAGGCAGGTTTGGGGCCATTCTTAGGTGAGCAGGAAGAGCTGTTTGAAGAGAAATCTTTTGTTCTGCCATCAGTGCATCCTGTGATCTGAATGTTATCAGTACATCATCATCCCAAGGTCTCTTCCGAAAGGAGCAGAGACCAGCTAGAGAAAGAGGGGATCTCTGTGGAAACGAGTCTGTTCATTCTGGAAAAACAGCAAAAACAACAAACCTTTAAATTGTTTATTTATAAGCCCTTGAGGTTTTCTTTGTAATCCCTGAATTGCCCTGCTTCATGATTCCTGGTAATATATGGTAGGAAAACTATGATTACTAACAGCTACTTAACTATCAGTACTTTTGCCTCTTGCCTCCCATCCTTGAATTTGTCACCTATGTTTAACACTCCTTGGTATTTAAATAGCTAATCTGGTGCTGGCTGCCAGAGTTAACAACGTGCAAATCTCACCTTCACGACTCTGTTTATTCTGTATTTCCTTTTGTGTTCTTTATATGAACTGACTCGGCCTTTGCTAATGATTACAAGTATTCGCTGAAGTATTCACCAAAGTCAGTAGATAAGAATTTCTGTGAACAGTGTGTCTTGTGACACTAGCTTGTCCCCTGTTGAATAAAACCAACTGAGAACAGTATTTTTGAAAACTGGTTCAGGTTGATACATATGTATATGAAAGCATGCCTGTATTCATTCATTCAGTAAATATTTATCGAGCTTCTCCTATGTGCCCAGTCCTGTTCTAGGCAGTGACAAGCAAAAACCGATGGAACCACCATCCCAGTGGGGTGAAACAGGGGAGAGAGAGAATAAGTAAGTAAAATATATTAGATGTCATATGGAAATAACTGCTTTGGGGAAAAATAAGGCAGAAAAAGGTGACAGAGAGTAGGAGTGTGTTTTAAATAGAGTGTTTATCCATATTCATGGCAGCATTACTCAAAATAGCCAAGATATGCAAACAACATAAATGTCCTTTGATGGGTGAATGGATAAAGAAAATGTGGTATACACACACAATGGAATATTATTCAGCCTTAAAAAAGATGGAAATCCTGCCATTTGTGGTGACATAGATGATCTGGAGGGGATACACTAAGTGAAATAAGCCAGACACAGAAAGACGAATACTGCATGATCTCACATATATGTGGAATCCAAAATAGTCAAACTCATGGAAACAGAGAGTGGAATGGTGGTTATCAAGGGCTTGGGGGAGCGGGAAATGCAGAGATGCTGGTCAAGGGTGCAAAGTTTCAGTTACATGAGATGAATAACTTTTGGAGATCTAATGTACAATAATGTGACTATAGTTAACAATATTTTATTGTATATTCTAAGAGGGTAGATCTTAGGTGTTATCACCACAAAAAAATTAAAATAAAACAGAATAGGGTGCTTAGAGAAAATAGCTCACGAAAGACCTCAACAAGGTAAAGGGTGAGCTACAAAGATATAGAGGGCACCCAGGCAGGAGAATGCCCAGTAAATTCTAGAAACCATCGAGGCTGGTTGGTTAGGAGCCAATGAAGCCAGAAAGAGATTGGGGTGCTTGATTTCATAGGACCTCGTACTTGGTGTGTAAAGACTTGACTCTTTCTTGGTGCGAGACAGGAAACCTTTGAAAGGTTTCAAGCATAAAAGTGGCATGGGTGGACTTGTGATTTCAAAGGAGGATCCTCTGGCTGTTGGGTGGAGAACAGACTGAGGGAGGGCAAGGGAAAAGAAGTAAGACCAGTTAGGAGGTGATGGGGGCCTGGGTCAGTGTGGTAGCAATGGAAGTAGAGAGAAGAGATTGGATTCTGGATATATTCTAAAAAGTGGGGACAACAGGATTTACTGGAAGTTTGGATGTGGGCATGAGAGAAAGGAGTTAAACTTTTCAGTGTGTGCATGCACATGACTATTTGTCTATATAAAGCTTAATATTATCCAAAGGCATTTAGCTAATTGTTTACTTATTTATTTTTGCTCCACTCCAAAGCCAAAGAAGGGACCTTCTCAGTCTTATTCATTCCTGCATGCCCAGTGTCTAGAACAGTCTTTCTTGCTCAAAAATGGAGAAAGTGTTTATTGTGGGTAATGGCATTCGAGAAAAACTGTAAAGAGCTCGGTTATTGTCTGTCTTTCTTATTTTCAGCATTGAGCCTGTATTCATTTAACAATAATACATTTTGTTTACTTATAGAAAATCCAAGAAATTTTCAGAATTATATAACATAAAATTGTTTTAAATTCCTTCTTAAGACTATCACTAAAAAGTGAGAGATTCTGCATTCTACAGATGGAATGATGTTATTTTGAGAGCCAATGTCATGAGCAAATGAATCCAAACAGTATAAAGGAATAAGTCCAAATCCTATAGAATAAAAATCTTGCATGATACACAGGATTGGGTACCAGGACAAAATTTATTAGTGTTGGCTTTCTATTCTTTTTTTTTCCTCCTCAAAGCCCCAGCACATAGTTGTATATCCTAGTTGTAGGTCATTCTAGTTCTTCTATGTGGGATGCCACCACAGCATGGCTTGATGAGCGGTGTTACGTCTGCACCAGCAGTGGAAGCAGAGCGCTGGAACTTAACCACTCGGCTGCGGGGACCAGCCCTTAGTGTTTTGTCCTACGAGGACACTACTGGGGCCAGCTCTCAGCCAGCCGGTCAACTGGATGGAGTCTGCATTGATTAGTTAATCACGTCTCGGCTCAATTCAAAAGGAGCTTTTTCTAGAAATGCCTACCTTCCTTTAATCGGGATGTTTCTATCAACTTTGCCTGAATTAAAGTTTATGGAATATTATTATTCACATAAGTATGTGCCTTTAATTTGTTTGGTTTTTTTGTGTGTGTGTGAAAGTTGAGCCTTGGAGACCACTTGTTATTAAGAGCAAACTTACAGACGTAACTAATCTTGGATGTTTCCAACCAGTGCAATATACCTAGAACCTTTCAATGGGTCGCAGGACCCAAAGCCATTATATATATTCTGAAATCCAAAGGGCTCTGAAAAATGGCAAGCTTTTTGGGGAGCTTATCTGGAAGCAAAACCAGAGTGACCAGAACTCATTTGATGGTGCACTTCAACGAGAAGACCTAAAGCTATGTATGGGTTTTACATATCCCACCTGATGGGAATCTTCATCTGTTTCACTGCAGGATATTAATGTGTTTGATCACAGGTTTATGTGCAGTGTTACATAATATAGACTATAAGCACTCAGTTATCTTTGTAAGAATTCTGTTTTCTATAGCACATCTGGCCTCATGGGGTTTGCATAAAGGACTGTAATCCTGTACTGTGTTTGCTGTTTGGGGCTGAATGTGCTGGCTTCACTCTTCCTTAAGAAATAAGGCTGATGGCTGTTTTCTCGCCTTGTGAATGGAGCAGGATTTCTTTTCTAGGTTCCTGGAGCTTCTGCAGAGCAGGATCTGGATCTGACACGTCTGTCTAGCTCACATGTGTGAGTGCTTTGTGATGATGAAGCTTCTTCTTGTTCCTTCCCAGACAGGGCACAACCTTGGAGAAAGGTAGCATGAATCTGGGTGAAACTGGGTTCCTGTTTTGTTACCAATCAGTGATTGGCAATGGGAATTAAAGGGAAACATCCTGATGATGGGCCAAATGAGTGACTCCAAGCCACATCAAAGACACCCCCTGACATTTTAGTGATAACAGAATCCTCTGTGGTCCTGATCCGATAATGTGTCTCAGGGCAGTATGAAAGCCGTCAAGAGCCTGACAACTCAAAACAGTCTTGAGTTGGGATCCTTGCTCCATCACATGTAGACTGGGCAACCCGTTCCTCACCGTAACCCACAAGATCTAGCCTAGCTCATGACAAATTTACTACACAGTTTTCATCATAACTTCTTTTATTAGGGACAAGATGTCTAGTCTGCGATCTTGGGAAATTCCTAACCCAGTGAATTCCACAGCTCTCCTCTGTCAAATCTTGTATTTTCTGCTCCCCAAGCTTTTAACACACAACTTTGAGGGTGAAGCACTGGGCACCGGTTTAGAAAATCTAGGAGAATCCGCAAGATAAACATACTTTTAGGGGCTTCAGGGACTAGAGAGATGAAGGATGTAACCTTCTCCCATCACGGGACCCTTTGTATCGGGCGAGGTTGAGCACAACACAGCCCATTCCTGACCAGAGCAGCTCGACTGGCTCCTTCTGCTTCTATATCGGGGCCTCTGGAACTTCTCAGGAGGGCCTTGCAGAAATTGGAAGGTGGCGGTGTGGCCTCCTCTTCTTTCTTCCAGGATCCACCACCTTGCTCTTGGACACGGGGGCACGACATGGGCATCTTCAGTTGGGTACCAGCTGAGCTTAAAACTTGGCTCCTGGGGAAGCGGGGATTAGGTGTTTGGGTGTGGGACTGTATGTTTGGGGGGTGATTTAAATGGCTCTGGAACTTGAGGCTGTTACAGAAAATACCCAAGCTGCCCAGATCTTTTCACTGAAATCTAAAGCGCCATGAGAAAGGCTATCATTGGCTAGGCTCCCAGGTCTTTCAAACAAGCAAAAAGGTGGGGGTGCAAACCCCGCCCAAGCCCCAGACGGATGGAGCTGGCACCAAGGACTTCTGGTCAACCCCAGGACAGCAGGCCAGGCACGTCAGAGGGTGCAGGAGCGCAGCGGCCCACCGCCTCCAGGGACCCCGGGTCGGAATTAGGGTCCAGGTGGGAAGCAGACGCGGAGCCGGGGAGAAGCACGAGCCGAGGAGAAGAGTCTAGAGAGCTTAAATCCGGGAGAAGAGGCACAGTGTCTCCGGGCGGAGCGGATTTCGCCTTGCGCGTCCAGCGCACGGCCGGGCGCCTTCAGAGCCCGGAGCCCGGCGTCCTCTCCGAGGGGGCGCACTGGCCACCCGCGCCGCGCCCTTTGTCCAGCGCCACCTGCCCCTTCAGCAGCGTCAAGGAAGGGTCTCCGGTCAAGGACTGGGATCTACGGCCATGGCCGAGGCCACAGAGCCGGAGGGGGGCGCCCCGGGTCCCCAGGGGCCGCCAGCGGGCTCGGCGCTTCTGGCGGAGAGACTAGGCGAGCAGGAGGCCGCCGGCCCGGAGGCGGAGGGGGAGGAGGCCGGCGAGGGCGCCGAGGGGGCGCAGCGGGCCGAGGGGGCGGACGCAGCCGCGACGGCCGCGGGGAAGAAGGGAGAAGGCGCGGGGTCGGCCGGAGGGCGCGCGGGCGAGCTGGCGCCGGGCGCGGGCGGGGACGTGGGGCCCGAGACGCAGGGCGCGCGGGCTGCGCAGGGCGAGGCGGAGGCCGGGGAGGGCGTCCCTGCGGGCCCCGAGGCACCCCCGGGAGGGGAAGCGGCGAGCGGCGCGGAGCAGGTGGAGGAGGCGAGCCCCGAGCGCGGCGCGCAGAGCGAGGCCGCGGAGGAGGCTCAGGGGGAGCCCGGGGACCCCGCGGCTCCCGAGGCGGAGGGGGAGGCGGAGCGCGGGCCGGAGGAACCGGGAGGCGGTGCGCCCGGGGCGCCGGGGGCAAGCATGGACGCGGAAGGGCCGGCGGAAGGGCCGGAGGGAGGGGCGCACGGGGCCCAGGGTGAGCCCCGGGACGGAGGGCACCGCAGCCCCCAGCCGCAGGCGGAGGCGATGGAGGCCGCAGTGGTGGAGAGCGAGGAGCACAGCCCCGGGGAGCTAGCGGCGGAGCCTCGGGGTGCAGCGGGGGAGGCGGGGACCCCCAGGGGAGAGGAGTCGGAGGAAGCGGCTCCCGGGGAAGGGAGGGCAGACGCTGGCGAGGACGGGGACCAGAGTGGGGCCCAGGAGGAGATGGAAGAGGCAGAGAAGGAGAGGCGAGAGCAGGGTCTGGAGGAGCCAGGCCAGGATGCTACAGCCGGGAACGAGAAGGAGCCCCTCGAAGGCAGCGCGGATGGGGAGGCGGCCACGCCGACGGGGGCCGCGGAGCCGGAGGCCGAGCTCAGCAACCACCTGGCGGAGGAGGGCAGCGTCGAGGGCGGCGACGAGACTGCGGCGCGAGTGAACGGCGGCGGGGAGGACAGCGAGGCGTCGGAGGAGGGGGCCCCGGGGCAGGAGCACGACATTACTCTCTTTGTGAAGGTAAAGCTCGCTTCCTCCAACTCCCGGGACGCTCCCTCCCATCCCTAATCTTGGTCTTCCAAGGGGGAAGCACCGCGAGGGTGCCTTAATGTCACTTCTGCTCACGGGAGGGAGGTGGGACAGCCTGGGGTTCATGGAGAAGAGTAAAGGCGGGTTTGGGGGAGGACAGGATGGTTTGGAAGCAAAGAAGTTGGAGTGGAAGTGAGGGGAAAGGGGGATGTGGGGCCAGCATCCCACTGTCCTTTGTCCTGAAAATCCTAACTGGCCATTCTAGACAGGAAGTTATTAAAGAGTAAACTTTAAAAAGAAATAAAAAGCGACACGCCCTTATTGATGTTCAAAGCAATTTCTGCCGAAGGAAGCTCGAATACTTGAATTGAAAAAATGCAAACAAGTAGGTTGTAAGGTGAGAAATGTGCGTGCTTCCAAAATCCCAGAGGCCCAGAGCTGGCCAACGTTTTCAGCTCCAAAAACGTATCCCACTTTGGTAGAATCGATGAGATATGTTTGGGAGAAAGGTGGAAGTTTATTTAAATATTGTAATGTTTAGTGGACATTTTAACATTTATTTTGGAAGAATACAAGACGGTGGTGACTTGAACATCATCTGCCTTTGTGTGCTATTTTCCACCTTCCTTCAAATGGGAAGAGAGCCATGATTTTGTTTAAGAATCTGCACAGACGTGACGGAGGAAGTATTGAGTTTAAGTCGGCATTTCTACAAGGTATCTAAAATGAGGGGCAGGGCCCAGCGGCAGCTCACGTGAAGATATTTGTTAAAAAAAAAAAAAAAAAAGACCTGCTTTCTGAAGACCTTTGGCCAGACCGGGAAAACAGCAGATAATAAGGTCAAGAATGTGCATTGCATGTTGGATCTTAATCCTTCCAAAATACTTTCAGGCTTGTAGAAGCCAGTTATGACCTAAAACTCCTTGACTGAAATGTAAGCAAATTCTAATAAGCAGAAAACGAAATGTTCCCAAAGTGATTAACATCAGAATTTCAAGAAGTGTTTGGGTGGCAAAGGAGTTAGAGAAGAAAGGGCACGCGTTACTTTGCCCGTGAGAAGGTGCTGTTCTGAGCAATTTTTAAGACCCTGAGACATTTTAAGATTCTGTGTTGGGACGTAACCTGAGGGGACGACCCCCAGGAAGCTCACTGGGAGCTGGGAGTCTGCAGGGCCCTTAGGGGAGGGCGAGAGCTGAATACGCGGCTGCTGTGTGTGCCCCAATCTGCTCCTTGGTTTAAGAAATTTCCCGTTTCTCTGCTCGCCTGGTTACGTGATTCCAGCCTCTTGTCACAGTTTTGAAATACAGCTTCCGAACTAGTCTCTCTGCTTCCATTTTCGGCTTTCTTCCACCTAGTTCCTTCGCAATAGCCAATGAGCTAGGAATAAAAGATCTGATCATTTTGTTTCTTAGTGTAAAATTCTTCAGTTGTTTGTGGCAGAATTTCAGATAAATCCACATGCCTTAGCCAGGCCACAAGCCTCCTCATGATGTTATTCCTGCCTCTATGACATTCCCTGGGCGTCCCCACCCTTTGTCACCTGTGGTACTGCTATGCCAGTGTAGCGAATTACTTACTTTTCCTTGAGAGAACCACATTCTTTCCTGCCTTGAAATTTTTTAAGTGCCCTACCCTCTGCCTGAATCGAGCTTCCTCCCCCTTGCCCCTCCCTCGACCCCCTGCCTGGTTATCTGCTGTGTGTCCAAGATTCAGCACAGCGTCATCTCCTCTGGGGAGCCTTTTCCAACCCCAGTCTGGGTTGGGTGTCCCTCTGTTAAGCTCCACTCATACACTCTGCATGCTGCATCTCTTCCCTTGACTGTGTGCAATTCATCTTATATCTCTGATGTGGAGCCCAGGTCTGGAACGGGATGAAGCTTTGAATGGGTAGCTGCCTGCATGAGGTAGTATACTGTGGTATCAATAGCACGGACATAGGCCAGTAGGTCTGGGATCAAATCCTGGCTCTGCTGCTTTCTTGCTGTGTGACCTTGGGCAATTACTTAACCTTCCTGTGCCTTTGTTGCTTATGGTTAAAATAGGGACAATGACAGTATCTACCCTATGAGATTGTTGTGGGGATCCAAGAATTAGACAGTATAAAGCACTTCGAACTGGCTTGAAATAAACATAGTATAGTGTGGGTTCTTATTGTTACGTCTACTCTGCTCCCATCGACTTTCATTGATTTTGCAAGAAACAATCTCCTTCCTATTCCATCCCTGAAACTTTATTAGTTTTTTTTGAGGGCAAATCTCTCTAGGTACCTAATTACCTCCAATCTTGGGGGCTAAGAGTGTTGTGAAAGTAAAAACAAGCCATTTTCTCAGATTCTGCGCAGGGGTAGTTCGTGTCAGCAGAGGCAAGAGGCAGGGCGTGGAGAGCGTATCCGGAATGTTGTGCTCTGATGATTGGCTTGGTGCTCAATCCTTGTCTGTTTTTTTTTCTTTAAGGAAATAAACAGATCTCGAAATAGTGAGATTAATTTTCAAGCAACTACTGCTTGATATGACTTCTGAGGATCCTTTAAGAGGTGCCTCATAGGTGCATCTCACTTTCTTCTTATCCTACTCATGATTTTCTTTAAAAAACAAAACAGAAGACTTCAAAACAGAAATCAAGCAAAAGCTCTATAGACTGTTATGTATTTTGAGTTTTTAATACTTGATTTAAAATCTTTAAATCAGTTCAAAGTAGGATTTTTTTTTTTTTGCCAGATTTAGACCTTTCTACCTTCTTTCTTTGGCCTCCACTTTATTTGACTCTGTATTCCATAGTGGACACCTGACCTTCTAGGTTTTGTAAACATGTCAAGGCAAGTGTGTCGTGGTGGGTTTTCTATGCCATCGCTGAAGTGTATATTCACACCACTGTTCTTTAAGGAGAGTACTGCATGTTCTTCTAAACATTCTCCTAGCCTTCATAGGACAGCCTGGTAAACACAGTTTTAAATTCATTAGCCCATATTCTATTTGTGAACTTTTACATTTCTTCCTATTTTGAAATAAACATGTTGGTTACAAATATACCAGAAAGTAATGACATATGGCCCAGTAACACATAATAATAAAATCTACTTCTAATTTTAGCCACCCAATGGTTTTATAGTCCCCATCTTTATGAAAGTTATCTTCTTAATTTGTCATTTTGTTTTATTCTATAAGTAGGCAAGAATGTATTTTTGGGTATAAAAGAGCCAGAAACGTCTAGAACAGGCCAAGGAAAACCTCCTTGAATTATCGTATGGTAAATTAATTGCTGATTATGCTAATTTTTAGTTTTGTTTTCTCAAAGAAGTGTTAATTACTTGTCATCAAATTATAGGGTAACCTTGCAATATATTAAGAAAGATCCTTTTCTTCTTTACTCATAACAACAAGGGGCAGCAACATAATAACTTCATAACAAAATGACAGACAAAATACCAACAACAAAGGATAAATTAAGGACTTCAGCAGCTGAGGGGATTTTGTCACCAAGGAAGTCTTGCTTACAGGTTTCGTTCTTCTAATCCCGCCTGTATATTTGCAGGCAGGGTCTAGCGGTGGGACAGTCTGAGGTATGGATTTCCTGGCAAATTTCACATGACTTAAAAAACCCCAGCGTGACCAGTGAAGAATCCTGGGTGAGAGTCTAAGAATTTCGTAAGTTGTGTGTTGGACACCATACATTTGACTACAGACAGGTAATTCCTGCTGAGCTCTAGAGCTTGCATTTGCCATCACATTTGAGTTCTCCAGAGAGGTGAAATTGATGATGGAAGAAAGTAAAATCATGGCCTGTGAATAAGCATTATCACTCAAGAATGCACCCCTCCAAAAAATAAATAAATAGAGCCACCCAGGCGATGGCACACCACGTGGAGGGATGGAGGGATGAAGGGATGGCATACCACGTGGGGGCTGGGAACATGTCCCAGCATCTGACTGACTCCTGGTAGACCAGTAGGCTTTAGCTCTCTGTGCACACCTCCCAGGCAGAGAGCAGGTTAAGACCTGTTCTCTGGGGCTTGGTCTTCAAGGAGCTTGAAGGGAGATGTTATTTTCCTAACTGTGTGTGGACTATGTGTTCTGAAGGGAAATGAGCAAAGATGCATTTCTGCGACTTTCATTCTCCCTAAAAAATGACATTTTTTTGGTAATTTATTTTCTAATTGTCTTATACAACTTGCTCACAAATTGGATACATGAAATCATACAGGGTTGTTTGGGGTGGAAACCGAGGTAGAACGTCATGTTTTGCTCACCTCTTACACACATGGGCACACACATACACACTGGGAGTAGGGACCTCTCTCACCACACTGACTGAGACGTCTGGCATGGCACTGGCTCATGGGAGGCCCTCGATCAGTGCTTTTTGGTAATGATAGGTAGATAGCCAGATGGATGGATGGATAATTGAAGGCGACTCAGCTAGTGAGAAGCTGGACACAAGCCCTGTCCTCCACTGTCCCAGTCTAGTGTTCCTTGTGAAAGGGCTGGAGCTACTCTTCTCCATGAAGACTTCTTGGTAGCAAAGTTGGAAGATGCTAGAATCCCCTTGGGGCTGTGGAAATTTGCGGCTCTGCCCTGCCGTGTGTGCAAATCATCCTGCCCTTGCCTGGGCTGGTGGGCCGTGTGCACTGGACTCATAGGAGTAAGTGAGCAATTGTGTTTCACCTTCAGCTTGAGCTCCTCACATGGGGTCTCCTTTATCTCTTCGGTTTCACGTGGCCAGCTCTTTTCCATTCGGCCCACTCAGATATCCTACCTCCTTGAGCATCTGATGATCCACAGGAAGCCTTCAAAAACGCCACACAGGGTTCTTTCAGCATGGAAATTTACCCTGTTGTTTCAGATACACAGAAAAATAAAACCTAGAATTTGAAGGAGCGTGTAAAATCCAAACTCTGGTCCACATTTTAGGTTCAAGTGGATCACACTGCTCTAGATTAATCCATTAACTCAGCACACGTGGATTTATCACTGATTGTGTATCAGGCACTGTGC